TCTTTCTTTCTTTCTTTCTTTCTTTCTTTCTTTCTTTCTTTCTTTCTTTCTTTCTTTCTTTCTTTCTTTCTTTCTTTCTTTCTTTCTTTCTTTCTTCTTTCTTTAAAATTGTTAATTACAGTGCCATGATTATTTATTTTTATATATTATATGCTACTGAGGATGCACTACCAAACCCAGCCACCAGGGGCAGTATTCCTATATGTTGAATGCCTTCCCCCATTTTGCCCCTTGAGCCTGTGGCATCTAAATCAGCAAAGTATTTCCTATATAGTGGAAACATTTCCATATAGAATACATAGAGCTGCAGTACCCAGGCCAGCCACCAGGGGTGCTATGTTGTCTTTGTGGAATGCATTTCCTATATTCCATGGGGGGCAGTATATAATTGTTAGCATTTCTTAGAAATTTATTTAAGCTTTTGTCAATACATTTCATACTTTCACTTTCGTTTTCAGATAGGATGATTTATCTGGAATCAAACTGTGGAAAAGCAACCATTAAAATAACATCATAATCTTCAATATTATTAGCCTCTGAGATTCCAGAACACAATTCAGCCAGTGAACTGGGACGGTGTTGTCATGTGAGGATTACATTGCCCTCTTTCCCCAACAGAAAATACCCCATGGAAAATACCCTTTAATACCCAAGGCAGCCACAGGGAGCGGTATGGGCCATATATTGAATAGATTCCCCTGTTTTCTCCCCTTGAGCATTTGTAATAGGGCAGTGCATTTAACATATAGGACCCCCGATGGCTGGCTCAACGGGGAAATAGGACAGTGAATTTGCCATATAGGAGATGCTGCTCCTGGTGGGTAACATGAGTACGGCAGGATCAATAGCCAAAGTAGGGTAATGTCTTGATCCTATGATATACTGACCCCTGGTGGTTCACGTGGATATTGCAGACTCAATGAGGAAAATAATGCAATATATTTATATATAGGACATACTGCCACTGGTGGCTGACTGGGGTATTGCAGCCTCATTGGGAAATATACTGTGGGGCAAACTGATGGAACCTCTGGATCATACTGCCCCTCAGTGGCTGACCAGAGCACTACAGGCTCCATAGCCACTTCACCTTTAGATCCACAGCTGTGGCATTTCCTAGCTAAGTCATAGGCATGAATTTTAGCTGTGCAGCTTCTGGCTATGTGGTTATATCATAAGCCTAGATCTCTCCTCCTCTGGCTCCTCTCCTGGGGACAGAGATCTCTTGACTGCTCCAGTTTGTATGGGTTCTCCTGTGCTGGATTTTGAGGGGGGGGCATGGGTGGAAAGAGGCTATGAAACCTCTTCTTTTTGCCATGTCTCCCCCACTTCAACTCTTCCGGTCGGCCATCTATTATCATGCAGCATTGGAAAAGTTCTTCCAAATTATTTGGGGTGCACCCTATGAGTGAATTGGGATGTGGAAGCTCAAGGACCAATAATATATAATATTATAGTATTATTTTAATGGTGTTATTTGTATTTTCCTGTTTTGGAATGTACATATTTGAAAATGAAAATGAGGATAAAAATATGTTTGCACAAAGGCTTAGATAAGTTTCTAATCATTTTTAACAATTACAGAGGGCAGTATCTCCTATGCACTGAATACATTGCCCCATTTTCTACATTGAGTCTTCATTACCCATATCAACAGCCAGGGGGCAGTATCCCCTAGTTTCTCCATTCAGTCTTTTGTACCAGGGGACCAGTATGCCTCATATATTTAATACGTTTCTCAATCTATTTATCCAACTGAGCCTGCAGTAGCCAGGTTTGCCAGTGGGGGCAGTATGTCCTATACTGTGTACTGTATAGAATACATTGTCCTATTTTGCTTATTCAGCTCAAGCACCCAAGTCTGCCACTGGGGGCAGTATGTCCTAAATATAGAATGCATTGCCCTATTTTACTTATTCAGCCTCAGGTGCCCAAGTCCTGGGGGCACCTGCCACCCAAGGGCAGTATGTCCTGCATGTTCAATACCTTCCCCTATTTTGCCCTTGGAGCCTTCAGTACCCAAGTCAGCCACTGGGGGTAGTAAGTCATACACATGTTGCACGGCTGTTTTACAACCCCCTTTGGGGCTGTTGCATTCCAGCCTCTCCCCATATGATAATAACTGAGGGCAAGATATGCCTTCTTGTGGGTTTTATTGTGCCAGTTTTGTGACCTTTGAACCAGGATTTGAGTCTTTGCTCTTACTGGCAAGGCTAACAGGTGTGATAGACGTTTTTTTTTTTTTAGTTTCTCAGAATTGGGCAATGTAATTGGCAGAAGCCTCGTGAGCATCTGAAGTCCAAGTTTTTTTTAATCCTCCCAGCCAATTAACTAAAACATCTATTGGTTTTATGAGTGCTTCTGGGCTTGCAACCATTTTATGTCTGTTGCAACTTACTTATCCCGCCTTCGGTTGTAAACTTTGAAGTGTAACAGGAACTGACACATAATAATTGCAGAGGACCATAAAACTACTTATAAAGCCCTATATGATATATGGGGTTAGGGTTATTTGCAGAACCACCTCTCCTGGGTGGTATTGACCCATCCCACATCCCATATAGTAGGGTGGGTATGCTTTGGGCCCCTTCTTTGAAACAGTGCCAGTGGAGGGGACCCAGCAGGCGCACCTTTTCTGTTGCAGCCCCTGCTCCCCACTTCCCCCCACTGACATATGGTTGGCCCTGACCTGCTTGGCTTTTAGAAAAGCATTCGAATCCTGGCTTTGTCCTCGGGCTCTGGAGGAGGGTAACAGTGGCAACTTCCTGCTCCCCTATCAAGAGCTTTGGATTACTTTTTAATCTGGAATTGTGTTTTGCTTTTTCATCTTTTGGTTAGGGTGAGCTGCCCAGAAGAAGACCACTTAGAAGCTTCAACTGGTCCAGAATGGAGTGCGCTGGGCAGGGATGGGCGTGCTTCGGTCTGCCCACGCAACACCCCTTCTCTCCAAGCTGTACTGGTTGCCAGTTTGCTTCCAGGTGCGATTCAAGAAGCTGGTCGCTACGTATAAAGCCCTACATGGCACAGGGCCTGGTTCCTTGAGGGACCACCTGTCGCCCGTAGCATCTGCCCAGCTGATCCGATCTGGCAGAGTTGGCGCTCTTCGGGTTCCATCAGTTAAACAATGCCACCTATTGGGACCCCGGAAGCGCATCTTCTCTGTAGCAGCACCTGTCCTCTGGAATGAAGTTCCCCCCAAGATCTGAATGGCTCCCACCCTACTGGTGTTTCAAAGGGGCCTGAAGACCTGGCTCTTCACCCAGGCCTTTGGTGAGGACGAGTGAGACCTTCTTTGAATTGTGCGGGCTTGTTTCTCTTTCATTCCTCTCCGGTTTTTGTCATCTTTATTTTTGTACTGTATATTGCCCAGAATCCTTGGGAATCAGGTAGCATACACATTTAATAAATAATAAATAAATATCAGGGAGAAGTGATCCTGTCTCTGAAGGGTCATTGTCACAATGCAGCCTTGCCTTTAAAGAACAGATCTTTGCAATCCAGTGAGATTAAAGTTTCTCTCCACTACAACATAACTGAGATAAAATTTCTGTTTGGCTGGGCAAATGCTTTAATAAAGGTTGAAGATACCTTAATCTCCAATTGTCATAAAATTCACAGCATTAGAGTCACTTTTATGTGAGATGGGCAGCTACATAAATATGATAAATCAATCAGTCAATCAAATAAACATCTCAAGAGGTTTGCTTTCACCTAATCCATACAGACATAACTTCTGGAGGAATGGAGTTACATGAAACAAAGACAATATATATTTTTTTAATTTACCCAGGCTTTTAAATTGGTTTTTAATTCTATTTTAATTCATATAGTTTTAGATTTGGCCTTGCTGCTGCCTAGTTTATATGAAGTTTTCATTTTGCATTTCATTTGATTTTATTGTAGATGTTTTTATTCAAATTGTATTTTTTTTTAAGCGTGCTTTATTGTAAATTACCCAGAGAGCTTTGGCGATTGGGCCGTTTCCAAATTTGACTCATATCAAAGAAATAAATATGGAATCTGCCCTCCAAACTGTTTGAAGGAAGAACGTGAGAAGGCCTGTCAGGATATATACAAGAGAACAGATCATTTGCGGGGGGAAATCTCTGTTTCTCTAAGCCAGTGTTTCTCAACCTCTGCAACTTTAAGATGTGTGGACTTCAACTCCCAGAATTCCCCAG